CTGGAGAGGTCTTGCGGGCACCTCACTGGCAGCTGGTCCGGCTGTAAAGAATGAAGAGAAGGGCAGTCATCCCAAGACATTGCGCCTGAAGCCTGTCCCTCACCTTTGAGCCAACACTGAGAGGTCTTGGGACCCACAACGGTAATGTGTTTGGAACAAGGCCATCTGTGGCCTACACAGCAGGCTCCTTCTTGCAGGGGCTCAGACGTCCTTTGGGGGAGCCTCGCTTCCCCCACATCCCAGGGACAAACAGGCATGGGAAGGTGCCAGCCAGGCCAGGAGCGTGTGGGCAAGAGGGGAGCGAGGGGTGACTTGACCTCCCTCTGTGTCACACACACACTGGGACTGGCAGTGGCAGCGTTTAGCATCCTGCAGGGAGAGGACTTATATCTCTGCCCACTGGAGGAGGGGAGGAGGTTTGGGCGGCAGGGGTATGTGAGCAGCAGACACCTCCACTTCCTTCCCCTCCCAGCAGGCTCCCCTAGCAGGGGCTCAGTGTCCTCTGTCTCGCCGTGCTCGCCCAGGAGAGTGGGCATGCCCGTGTGCCATGCGCAGCACTGCTGTGTGTGCCCCTGACCCCAGCCTCCTTAGTGGGGGCTTGTGGTGGGAGGGTGTCCCACCTTGGAGTCGGGAGTAAAGCAGGCCTCTCCAGAAATCCTGTGAGCACCAGCACAAATTTCCTCTGAGGCAGCCTCATAGGGGCGGTGTTCTCCAGACTGGCGCTCCATATGCACCCACGTGCACAAGCTGCTGCGCGATACCCGGGCCGAGAAGGCCGAGTGAGGAGCATGCAGCCCCTCACCGCCCACTGCCTCCATCTGTGTGTGTCTAGGGAAAGTGATGAAATTCACCGGATGGGCCTTCCCCGGCTTCGTCCAATCCCTGGGCAACATCCTGGCAGGGTGGTACCGGCTCCAGGGACTGGCTGAGCTTCTGGCTGGCAGGCAGGGTGGTGTCAGTGGCCTGCTCCTTCTCCTCGGCTGCAGGCCTGCCCTCCAGGAGAGTGACCATGGGCGTCTCCAGCCCAAGAGTCCACAAAAGGTGGGCGGGAAGGGACTGACCCCCCACACCCAGGATGCGGTGGAGCTGGTCAAAGTAGGAGCAGGTCTGGGGGGCTGCCTCTGAGCAGGAGCTTTGCTCCCTGGCCTGCCTGAGCTCCTTGATCTTCACGTGCACCTGCTCCTGGGAGCGCATGTGGCCCCCCTGGCCCAGGCTGCCGGCCATCCAAGAGTCCACAAAAGGTGGGCGGGAAGGGACTGACCCCCCACACCCAGGATGCGGTGGAGCTGGTCAAAGTAGGAGCAGGTCTGGGGGGCTGCCTCTGAGCAGGAGCTTTGCTCCCTGGCCTGCCTGAGCTCCTTGATCTTCACGTGCACCTGCTCCTGGGAGCGCATGTGGCCCCCCTGGCCCAGGCTGCCGGCCATCCAGCCATAGATCTCGGCATGCCTCCATCTGGTGTGGAAGTCCTGGAGGGGTGGCGCCTC